GGGGGGGGGTTATGGCACTAGACTAAATGAACATACTGTATAATCATTGTTAACACTTATTTCATGTAAAAGGGAAAAATCGTGACTTCACCTGCACATGATCAGATGTTTGTAGAATAGATTCCATGGGGGTGACTTACTAAAGATAAATAGACTACTCACTTTGCAAGGAAATTTTCACATTGCAGGGGACATTTCCTTAAAAGAGAACTATGGGGTAAGTGTTTTTCCCCATAGTTCTCTTAAGGGTCACGGGAGGACATATACTAGTGTCCTCCCATGACCCAAAGTTCAGTATATCCCGCGGTATACTGAGACCGCCGCAGCTGGGACGGATCCCGACATTACTGTCAAGATCCACACAGCTGCGTGAGTGACAGCTGGCTCTGCCTATCTAGAGGCAGAGCCAGCTGTACCGGCCCCCTCCCCCGTCCGTTCCTCCAGTCAGCACTGGAGGATCAGAGCGGGGAGGAGGGGAATGCCTGCAGGTTGCCGTGACTGACAGTCACGGCTCTGTGCAGGGAGATGATTGAGAAGTGAGTGAGCGACGGTATGTGTTCACTCACTTCCTGATCTATTGAGCCGACGTGTGACAGTTTCATTGTCACACTTCGGCTCGAACTATTTTCACTGATTTTCACTCACCTCATAGTTCTCCTTTAAGCTTAGTGAATGTGATAGAATTTCTCTTTGCAAAGAATACCCAATCATGAGCAAGGAAAACAAAAAGAAAGTATTTTTGCTCACCCATGATTGGGTGTTGGAAGTCAGCAGATCTTCACTGCATTAACGTAAAAGGCAACTTCCCCTGCAAAGTGAACCATACACTGAGTGGCCAGATTATTATGACCACCCCATCAGTACTCTGTTGGGCCACGAGATGACTCCACGAGATGACTTTGTTGGGCCGCCTCATGACTCCACGAGATGTTGAAAGGTGATGCGATGAATCTGACACTGCACTGTTGCCCTTCTGTTGTCTTGTACCAGTCTTGCCACTCTCCGTTCTGCCCTAACATTGACTAGTGCTGACGGCCACAATTCGCACGTGTTTAAAGACAGTCCAGTCTTTAAACACTTTACCAACAGCTGCTCTTGAACACTTAACGAATTCTGCTGTTTTGCTGAAACTCGGTCCATGGCTCCAAGCGCCAACAATCATCCCACGTTCAAAGGCTGTTACATCGCATTGTTTACCCATATCTTCAGAAAAAAATCACTTCTACTGTCGTGGTAAACAACCTGCTTCCCTATTTATAATGGTCTGGCCCTCTAGCAACTTCAGCGCAAAATTATAGCTAATTATAGCTAATTTGCCTACAAACGTCAGGTGGTCATAATAAACTGGCCACTCAGTGTATATTTGCCTTTAATAAATTAACCAATGTCTTGATGAAATATGGGGGCTGTTGACCTTCTTCTAGAAAATACTAGTTGACTGCCTGTTATGCTCACGTTCACGCACAAATTTGCACTTCACAAGGGATTATAGAAAACTAGTATTTTCAGAATAAGATGTCACAGTGTTGGCTAAGAAAAGATTTTCCAATAAGTGCCACAGAGTATAAAAAGCCAGTGGGTTATGCAGCTCACAAGCATCCACCCAACAGAACTTTAAAGAAGAAATGAACTCCGAGCATTAATATTCTTAGCCCTTGCAGTGGGGCTACCCTCACACTTTAAGGGTTAAGTGCTCATTTTCATCCAGGGATGAAAATAACAAAGTTATACTCATCTGAACCTTGTAGATGGCTGGCTGTTAGACCGGTCCCTTCAGCCTGTCTCCTCCTCCGCTCTTGCATTGGAAAGTCCCTTGGCATTTTCATGTCCTATATACTGTATTAGACATGATGACTTACAGGACCTTAGACCGCCGAGGCTGACGGGACTAGTCTAACAGTCAGCCAGCTTCAAGGTACAGGTGAGTATAATTTTGATATTTTCATCCCTAGACGAAAATAAGCACTTAACCCTTGCAGTGCGGGGGTAGCCCCACTGCAAGGGTTAAGAATGTTTATGCCTTCAGTTCTTCTTTAAAGGAGAACTATGAGGTGAGTGAAACTCACTCATCCTCATAGTTCGAACCGACGTGTTACAATGAAACTGTCACACATTGGCTCAATAGATTGGGAAGTGAGTGAACGCATACCGTCGCTCGCTCACTTCTCGATCATCTCCCTGCAGACAGTCATGGCTCCTGCAGGGATTCCTCCTCCCCACTCCGATCCTCCAGTGCTGACTGGAGGAACAAAAGGGGGAAGGGGCGGTTACAGCTGGCTCTGCCTCTAGATAGTCGACAGTAATGTCAGGATCCGTCCCGGCTGCAGCGGTCTCAGTATACGGCGAGCTGTAGTTTGCGATATACTGAGCTTTGGGTCACGGGAGGACACTAGTATATGTCCTCCCGTGACGCTTAAGAGAACTATGGGGAAAAACACTTACCACATAGTTCTCTTTTAAGGTAACTGAAATATCAGATATCATCAATAACGTGTCCAAAATATCTATATTACCCTCTAACACATTGGTGTTTGAGACGAAAACAGGTTCTCTAAACCTGTTGAAAGTCATGTCTTATTTTAATGTAGGGTCTATAGAAATACATTATTAATTGCCTCTGATGTTTATTCCTAAATATGTTTAACTGGATCAATCTTATTCTGTGGAATTGTCATTCTTTAATTACAATGTTTTAATTTTAATTTAGGTTACATATAGGGGAAGGTTATACTATTGTATTGACTTTCTTGTGGTTGTATATTACCCATTACATTCTCCTAACCAAATTGAATAATTATTATTACCTTTATCAGGAATTATTTAAAGGCGGACCTTGTACAAGCTCAGTACAATTGAGTTTGCTTCTATTCTAAACACTTTGATATCTTCAACATAGGCTGTTTTTGTCAAACTGCAGTCTTTTCTTTTCATGTTCCCTCCTCCCTACACACACTAACTGTTGCAAATCTTTGAAAGGTGGAGGACGCACAGAAACAATACATAGAACCGGCTGTATATTGTCTGATTATATGGTACATTGTCCTGATTGGGCTTATACAGGCAGTGTTAGTAGGGTTTAGGAAGCTATCTTTAAAAAGACCAGACCAACTAAATGTGACATTTCAGTTATAACTAAAGTTTTGGGGGAAGAGTCATCCTCTGGCTCCTTGTATTACTAGGGCTGTTCAGTAGCGAGATCCCCCATTCCTAGCTTTGTTCTTTCACAACTTGGGGAGTCTTGCTCCTACTGCAAGGATGTTCCAATGCCTTGCATTGTGGTTAATATGAATTAAAAATTCACCAGATAACTCAGAGATCTTAGCAGTCACCACTTAAGATATTGAGAGACATTAGGTAACATTAGGTGCTCGGTTCCTGATTGGCCAGTTAAAAAATGTTTTCTCAACAAATTAGTGAAAAGTTCAAAAGATAGTAAAACATCCCCATAATATCTGATAACTGATGAATATCTGATGAATAAGAAGCAAAGAGCTACTGTGAGAACTACACAGTAACCCATCAACTGGATTGTTGGCTGACCCATTTAATTACTGACATGTGAAATTCATAAGTTATCTTGCATATTAAATGTATGTCACTAATTAAAGGCATAAAGCTTTCACTGATTTGACATGAAACTTAAGTAAACTTAAATTTGATTGGTAGATAAGGCCTAGACTGCCCATAGAGGAGCAGATGAATGATGGGAGATGGAAGTGCTGCTCATCATTATCCAGGTCATCACTTTGCTGAACCAACCACAACCTTTCTCAGGTTCCATATACCAATGATACACATATAGCTAAAGGGAAAAATGAATGATCACCAACTAGTCACAGAGGTTTTCAAATTTTATTGTAAAACTGTCAAATCTAAGCAAATTATAACAAGCTAATTTCTATTGAATACGCTTATTTATTTTTGTTTACTCATAGATTCCATGTAAAAATTGTGTATGTGTCTTTATTTGCTTTATCCTTAAAACTTTTCTTTAATTTCAACCAAACAGGTACGGATGTCGGGATCTGTGAACTGAAAAGGGTAACAGGAAAGTGAAAGTAGTGTTGACAGAAAGAAGTGTAAAGGCTAGAGGAAGGAAAAACACATTGTTTAAGGACGAGAGAAGACAGAAAAACGGGGACTATGGGGAGAAAAAAGATTCAGATTACGAGGATAATGGATGAACGTAACAGACAGGTAAGAAGCAGCAAATGTTCCTCTGGAGAATATCATGGTCCAATCCCACTAGTATAGAGAGTAACGAGTCTCTCCTTAAGAATCACACTTGTGTAATTAATCACGGTGAATATATTAAGAGTGCAGTGTATAAACAGGGTGTTTTGTTAAGTCTTAAAAGATAATTAATTGACAAGCAAAGCAACAGTGGCACTAGCTCAGCAAATTGAATAGGCGAAGGTGGATGGTGCTTGTAGGGAAGAGTTGACACCCTCTGATCACAACACTGTATAATGATAGAGAGTATAGCTCTACAGCGCAGCAATGCCTTGGAGAGGAAAATTTATTACATGCAAGAGTCCCATGCCTTCCGGTGCTTTTCTATCCGTAGCAACATCATCATATATTTCATTGTTTTATTTATTTCTACTGTATGAAATTATTAGAGTCCTTAGATGGGACTAATTAATTGGAAAGGTTAGACTTTTGTCTTATACAGGGTGATATGCTTGGTCCATTTTCAAGAACAGTATCTCTTAAATAGGAAAAGGGAGTATTTAGGAGTTAAAGATTTTTACCAGACCAATGAACTAAAACTAAGAGAATAAACCACATGTTGGCTTTAGCTTACTGACATCAATGCACTGCTGATGAGAATACTGACAGCAAGTGGTTAACTTTCTCAGTAGCAATACTTTTTAATGTCGCTCTAGCCTGACAAGGGAACCAATATATTAGAATCAGTTAGGTTTAAGACCAAGGGATTTGGCTATTTAGCATTTGCCCATGATAGTGAAATATTGGAGCCAAGAGGGTGCATCTGTTATTTCAGAGGTTACAGTTAGTGGTTAGGTTAAGGTTAGGTCAAGTTTTTAGGATGTTAAGCTTTTGTTATGTTTCAGGATTAAGGATTTCAGGATTAAGAGGAGGTTAAGGGTTAAGGAGTCTTGGTTAAAGGAGAACTATGTGGTGAGTGATTTCCACTCATCCTTATAGTTAGAGCCGATCTGTGACAAAGAAGCTGTCAGAGGTCGGTTCTACTGATCAGGAAATGAACAAACACATACCGTCGCTCGCTCAGTTTTTGATCATCTCCCTGCGGAGAGCGGTGACTGTCAGTCACTGCTCCCTACAGGGACCCCCCTGCGATCCTCCAGCGCTGAGTGGAGGAATGGACGGGGAGGGGGCGGGCACAGCTGGCTCTGCCTCTAGATAGGCAGAGCCAGCTGTCACTCACACAGCTCGGTGGACAGTATTGTCGGGATCCGTCCCGGCTGCGGCACTCTCAGTATATGGCGGGCTACTGAGCTGTGGGTCACGGGAGGAAGTTAGTATATGTCCTCCCGTCACCCTAAAGAGAACTATGGAGAAAACACTTACCCCATAGTTCTCTTTTAAGGTTTAGGGTTCAAGTGAGGTCTGTTGTTTACAGAGCTGTGTAGCTGAAGCTCTAATTGCACACAGCTCAACCCCCTCACTATGCTCTATATAGATATGTATGGAGTCTAAACTTGAAAAAGATAGTCACAAAGGAAGAATCATCTTTAGTACAGCATACCTTGTATTGTATGTTTTTTATAAAATGCTGATTTTGTATAGTTAGAAAATAATTTAAAAGATAAGTTTAGAAAAAAAAAACCTAGATTGACCCCAGACCATTAAAGCTAAACTCCAGGCAAACAGCTAAATAAGCAGATGACATAAGTATATAAGAGCGTTCTTATCTGTGAGAAGGTTTGTATTTCTGTCCATCCAGTTCTGACATTTTACACAGCTCTGCCCCCACAGCCCATCTCTGCCTAGCAGGGGCCTAATTTTACTCTTCTGCATTCACTTTAAGTTACAATCCTCTACCCCTAGATTTTATGAGAGTTTAAACCTTGCACTGCAGTGGAGCCCTACTGCAAGGGTAATTTTTCTGCCTGGATTGTTGCTTTAAGGGTTACAGGTAGGGGTTTAAAGTCCATCTCCACCTTTGTAAGTGATTAGCATTTGCTGTGGTAATGAAGAGGTGCAGTGATGATGTATACATGTGCACATTTTCATGACTCACATTGCACACTTTCTTAATTTTTTTATGAAGGTTTTATTAGGTCTAGCTCTGCCTTTACACCCAATACACTGTCCATGGAAAGGAGGGGGTGATTTTGGATATTTTCACATTGCCTGCACAGCACAGAGGCAAAACTTTTCGTGCGGATATGAAGAGGAAAGCTAACAATACAAATTAAGTTTCTGTTTTCATATACATCAACTGCATATGCCTGCTTCATGTTCACTCGGTGTACATTGCTGGCATATGTTTTTCAAAAATACCTCTGCAAAGGTGGAAATGGGCTTTAAGGTTAGGGATTTTCGGTACTAGGTTCTTGACACCAGTATTTAATATACTCATTATTCTTGCATGGCACATAAAACGTTGCTACTATCTCATTTAGCCTCAAAGCTGAAAATTATTATTATTTTGTACTGAAAAAACTCCAATATCCTACAAAGTGCTGTAAATAAAATAAAAATAGTGTGAATTAAAAACTACAGACAAAAACATATATGTTAAAGTTTCTATTTGAGTAAATCAGCAACCAGTTGTCCAATAAAATATATTTGAAAAGTAAATATATTACTAGTCATGATGTTGAAGGCAGCTAGCTTCAAGCAGACAGTGTTTCCTACACATACTTATCTATGATCTCTTTTCTCATGTGTTCAGTTTCTAATGGATATACAGTATATCTCTTTAGCAGATGAGCTTAATCAGTGTGAGGTCACCAGAAATGTGTTGCTCTAAACATTGCAGGTGTGATGTGTTGGGATAGCAACCATACATTTCCTACAACGATCATTCTACCAAATTCAGTCAACATATGTTTGATGGATACCTTTGACAGAAGCTATTTAAGTTTGAAATAGCAAATAGAAATTACCAAGAAAAAAATATGTTCATGTCTTTGAATTAGGAGTTGTTATATTGTGATATACAGTTGTGCCAGAAGTACTGCAAGTATGGTGATGATTTGTGAAAACACTTATCAAATTTTAACAGCAGTGATGGACTTCCTAAACACACACACACACACATACACACACTCTCACATGTTCATACATTGCAAAGTTTTGGTTTACCAATAACATATTTTTTTAACTCAGCTTTACAACTCATTATAGCATTCTTGCCATTGACAATGACACATTAACATAAAATGTGAATATTTGATTAAAAAAGCAATGCAAAAATGTTTTTGTAGAGCATAGAAATCATAGCAAACAATCAGACCCTAGCTGTATTTTTATGGTTTAAGTTACAAAAAGAAAACTGACTACCTGATTAGGATCTATAGATAATGCACCTGCCCACTGTTTTAGCCTGTTCAATAAAAACAAAGGAAGGTGGATATTTTTTGGGAAAAAGTGCAAAACCATAACTACAGTGTGCTCACACCAACTGTTACACTGACATCCCCCCATTTCTACAGCAAGTAGAAGTTTCTGTATATTGCCTCTAATGAGATTTAGACTTTTGTTCCTCAAATAACATGGCAGTGGAAGACTCGGAAAAGTGAATATTTAAAAGAAATTGTAAATTACTCTATTTATGGGTGTATGTTTGATTGGAGTATTTTTTTAGTTTACTTAAATGCAGCTGCAGGTAAAACTTTTATCAGTAGGGTTTAACTGCATTATGCATCCCCCGGGAGATTTTTTTTACTCACATCCAGTACCAGTAACCGCCACCTGACAGAATTTGTAACTCTTCTATGGCATGCATGCAGCCAGATAACTTGCATTTTAAAAACAAACAGTCGGCCATGGTAGCCTACGTATTTATTTTAGTACAAAGTTCTTTTAAGAAGTAAAGAAAAATATATGTAAACATATATTTAGAAGTTCATGTAGGTGTTTGTGTCTGAACTCATGTAAACCCATCATGTCTCTTTGAACTTCCCTATAGAGACCAATGTTTCCTTTTGCTTTTTCCATGCCTATGCAAGTTCTGCATCAAGTGAAATAGCACTCATATGCTCTGTTTTTATAGTTCCTGTGCATTATTTAAATTAAAGGCTGTAGAGCTGGCTACTTTATTTCAAATAATGCTCAGGACCCCTAGTTGACTAACGGTATCTATGGCCATTCAGCCAGAATTACAGGGAGCTGTGTGTGGGAAAGGACAGGACCGAAGAAAGTGTAAATAATGCATTGCACTTTCCTCTCACAGTCCTTTACAAAAGTATTTCCTCTTCTTTAACCTTACTGGGAAATTACATAAATCTTACACGAGCACAGGTTCAAAGACCATTAGCTTCTATAAGGTCAAAAGAGATTGATCACTAAATGATTATAGAGATTTTCAAGTCTTTCTTTGAGACTGTAAGCACCTTTGGTGTCTACACATGTTGATTATCACTTGGCCTGATGGACCAGAACAGTTTCCCAGATTGGTTGCATGCAGATAACCAGATATGTCAGCCCTGGTCTTATATCCATACATAAGGGCTTATGGTTGTTTATTTCAAAGTGATTCGACCTTCCAAAGATATGACTTTTCACTTACATAACACATTGTTTAAAGCTTAAATATACTGTCATAAAAGAGAACAATGGATGACTGGATAAAAGGTTCCAATCAGACCTTCCAAAGATATGACTTTTCACTTACATAACACATTGTTTAAAGCTTAAATATACTGTCATAAAAGAGAACAATGGATGACTGGATAAAAGGTTCCAATCAGCATTGTACTAGCTACATATATAGTTATGTAGTTACATTGGTTATCTGTTGTGATCATTCATACTCAATCCTTTCTGATAGCTGGCTGAAGAATGGAGAACCATTCAGATTGCCTGATAGCCTCAGTGTATCTTTTGGCTGAGTGCACCAAGATGCATATGCACTTGAAGTTGTTTCCAAGAACTGATTATCATGATTTCATGGTTTGAACCACTTCCACCCTGACAACATTTTCATAATCACAGGACAGAATTTGAGAATCTTGCAATTAATCTAAGCTCTCTTTTATTTC